ATAAATATAAATTTTTATCAATAAATTGCTACATCCCTGTTATATTGGATAAAAAAAACTAAGTTTATTAAAATTGAACAAAGGAAGTATTAAATAAAAATTTTTATACCAACTACTTGTTGATTCGAATGGAAGGAACTCTGTTCTCCTTAAATAAGGTTTCAAATTCGAGTTTTGTGAATGGAAAAACATGATATTTTTTTTCCAAATTACTTATTTTGGTACTAGACCGTTATACTATAAATCTTGACGAGCTACTAAGTGGGATTGGTGACAGTCAAGTCATGCTCCGTTTTCCCGGCTATCAATCTTCTATTTTGTTGCTGGTAATGTTAATGAAATTTGTCTTCCATCACAAGAAATGTATATATTTACTATGTTATGCAAAAGTATGTAGTTTAAATAAACATGAGGTAGAGAATTAGGAAACAAAGGCTCCATTAATGTATATAAGAAATAGATCAAGCAGCCAGTGATGGTCTCATTTAGGGTTTTCTTTGTCTCTCTTCTTTCCCTTGTGGAAGTTTTGATTTTTGTGGTGGTAATATGATAAATACGCTGCTCTTTTCCTTCTCATGGGCAAGTTGTATTTCCTAGTAGGGTTCTTTCTTTCCCCTCAAGGGCGGATTACTGTTGCAACGGCTGTAGGGGGAGTCTCGCCCTTTCCTTCTGCATCTCGCTTTTTTAGGCCATATTTGGGATGCATGGTTGGTGGCAAATAGGTGAGCTCGAAGGATGGAAGGCTACGGTGAAGTTAAAACTTATTTAATTACATGTTTGTCATTATAACTAATTAAACAAAAAAAAGTATTAACTTATATTACAAAAAATTAAGTGAAAAATATCTTAAAATTATATTATTTTAATAAAATTTTATTAAAAGAAATTAAAATGTCTTAATTATTTTAAAAGTATGAATGATGATGTTTTAGTTTTTTTTTTCTTGTAATATTTTATTAAAATAACATAATTTTAAAATATTTTTTCACTTAATTTTTTATAGATCCGATTGATAAACATTAATTTCATAATTAATTAATGTATTTAATATTTATTTTAATTAATATTTTATCAAAAATTTATAATT